AGAATTGCTCGTTTAAAGAATAAGATAGCTCTACTAAAATGTTAGAAAAACATCGTTGTATGTTATTATGAATGATAATAAGCGATGTACAAGGAGTAAAGAAAGAAATCTCGAGAGAATTTCCGACGCGCACAACGTACATCACGGGTGGCCACTCGACAGGGACATCGATGAACGCGACGACAAATAAACGAGCGAAAGGAACGCACAAACGACAGCGTCGCACTCTGGAATAACTTTCAATATTCGCACATTATCCGCGACTCGAGTGTTCAATTAAAATCGACTAGTTGTCAATGTAAAGAAATAACCAAGACGAACCGGCGCGCGGGTCAATTTGCCCCTATTGACTCAATCGCGAACGATATGCGTCGGCTTAATAATCGACAGCTGCACTCCAACGCTCGCCGATAGATGGCACTGCACTACGGAGCGGGAGAGTTCATTGATGAGCCAGTCGCGTCGCTGCGCCGATCTCGTCGCCGACACTAATCAAATATACTTTAGGGCCCCGCTCGAGGGAAAATCTTTACGTTGCAAAGCCTTTCGAAGATCCATTCTGTTTCACTAATTGTTTAAATATATCTTTTGAACACCTATTTATTATGTAATGAATTTAATTGGTCTCAAATAATCTTGCAATTGATATGATATCTGTATACTTTAAAGGCAACTCTTGATCAAGGAGGCTTTACTTCTTTCGGCGTAAGTTGTACTGGTTGGCAGTTGAGACGTTAGACAGCGGCCCTTAACGCTATGAAATTATTATGAACGATATTTCCATTAAACAGTGAAAAAAACTTTCTTTGTGGCGGAATATTTCAATGCGCACAAACGGAACCCGATTTTAAAAGCGAGCCGTGCTTCCTAGGCGCGCTTTTCCTACTCGAAACCTAAAGCTCAATGGGGGACCTTCTAATTAATCTCGACTCAATCGGGCCCTCGTTTATGAATTGGTAATCAATTGATATCAAAGAATCCTCACCCACCTTCGGGATCCGTTCGAATCACTTAGCTTTCAATTAATTTTCGGTCTGGTACCAATTAGTTTAGTTACAAGCATCGCTCGTTTCCGCCGTCGCCCCATTCAGCGTTCCAACGGCATCCTCATTAAAGTATAACATATTTTTAACTAGCCACCGCCGGCGGCCGCGGCTGCGGCGGGCCGCGCGCTCTTCGATCCGGTGCCCATTTTTGTTTGTGCCACTCGCCCGCTCTTTAATAGTAGCGCGGTTGGGCGAGCGAATGGTACCGCCTTTTTAAATGAATGAACCATATTTTGCGCTTTTACGATTAGTTTTTTTTTTTTTTTCACCTTTTTATTTTACTTACATATCTCCAATAATTCACTCGTAAGTGATTGGATCGCGACGAGTCTGTGCAAACGGCTGTTGGTAAATGGCAACTTTGTAGAGATTATTTTAATTTGCAAACTTTTTATATATTTTTTAACGTTCTTATAACCAATTGTTCACTGCGATGTTTTTAAACTACTAGCCCAAAGTGATTTTCCACCCTTGCCGCATCAAAGCCAACATTCGAAAAAACTGAATAGTTTATGTACGCCTTCGTTGATAAAACAATGTTGGATTGGTGCGAGGATGTGTTTGTTTGTTTATCGGTATGACTAAACTCGATATAAAAATTGGCGAACCGTGTCGTTTTCACTTTACGCGTCGCGTTCAATGCATCAACGTGTAGAGACGGAGAGAATTTACACAGAAACGACAGAGAGACACTCGTCGAAGGTGCGCTGAACAGGAGCGGTGACGTTTTGTTTTCAAGTGCAAGGGAGTAGCAACTAACACTTGGGGAATATAATACCGGGCGGGAGGGGACAAGTAATTCCCTCTAACGGGAACAATGCGTTATCACAACTAGAAAGCGGCGGCGTATCACTTGCGACTTGCGACCGAAATCATAGATTAAGCAGTGCTCCGGTTAAAGTATGTTTTCTATAATGCTATGAAGAATATTTCCTTACACCTAGGGTAAGACCTATTTAACTAAGCCCAAATGGCCTAAGCTAATAGTAAATGAATTCGTTAAAACTAAATGGTCTATAAAACCGCGTAATGCCTACGGCATCCATAACTACGTAAGTGTTGTTATTACTAAATCAAAGTTAATGCAGAGTACTTTATTTATTAAAGTACTTAAAGACATATTGAACGGGTAATCTACTTTAGAAATTTATTTGCCAGAACTTTCGATCAATGACTTTATGGGCAAATCTTGTAGGTAATCAAAAAAGTTCGTATAGGTCAATGCTATAAAAAATACAACCCGCATCGCTCAAGTCTATTTTACTACTATTACTTACTATGACGCTGCTATGCATTTGGAAATCTTTATACGTACAATTCTTCTGTGTGTGTGTCGGTGACTGAATTCTTCCTAAATGGCTGGATGGATGTTGATAAAAATTTTTGTTTGGGTTCAAGAGGATTCGATTCATTAAAAATCTTTTTTTTAATTATTTTTTTATTTAGAAGTTTTAGTTAAGACGTGTATACAGGACAAACTTTGTCGGGTTCGCTAAGTATATATAATACTAGTGGACCGGGCAGACGTAAATAAAAATAAATGTAGTGGACCGAATTGTGAATCTAAACAATTCTCGAATCGACCTGAAGACACAAAACAAAAAAAAAATTAAAGTCTGTCCAACCGTTTAGGAGGAGTTCGATGACATACACACTTACAGAAGAATTATATGTATAAATGTTTGCGAAAGTCTCGCGATGCGATTCTCCTCTCAGAGGCTGGTAGCGTACCTTCGATGTTGCCAATTTTTATACTTTGCATCGTTTTAGTGCGAAGGCGGTGGCGCGCACCCTCCCCGCTGCCCCCGCTGCCCCGCCGCCGCCGCCACCCTCTCGCCCCCGACACCTCGCGGGAGTTTTACTTAGCTGATGACTTATTAAGAGCGCATTCTTCGGAGGTGTCTGTCTGACGTGGTGGGCTTAACGGCACGGCGGCCTCGAACCGCACGCGTCTCTCGCGCGACCTGACCTGCCTCAACCGAGGTCATGGAGTTCGAGACAAGCGGCCACAGCGTCCATCTAGTCCGCCAGCACAACACATCTCGCACTTAGACAACGGAAAACGCATCGCACATGGCCAGACGAAAAAGCCTTTTTGGGGGCTTAAATAATAAATACGCGAAGTTTCTCTGCCGGTTGCCGTTGTTTTGTGCGAATTAATCGTTAGTCCGGGGAGCGGGCGCGTTGCTCTTTTCGCAACCGCCGTGGGACGTAAATGTTCACGGATTATGTTTTTAACAAAATATGTTTTAATGCCAACTCCTCCGTGCCATTACCGGGGGATGGAGCTTAATAAATAATCCGGCTACCAAAAGCAATCCGATGTTTTTGCGGTTGCGTGAATTTTTTCAGTTGTATGAATGTATGTATGCTACTCGTGTTACTACTAAAGTAACAGCATACATTATGTACGTACATACAACTTATTCAACCAGGGACGTCAGCCTGCCTTGAAAGTTATGTCATAAATGATATCATTACGTTATGATATTATTATGGCTATGTAAAAATATAATTGATCTAGTAAAAAAGTCATTGTAACGTTTCTATATATATGTCTTCTTGATAAGAATATTCTTCCATAAACAGGGCAGCGAAGATTGTACGTAACTGTTTATGCGAGTTTGTAAAAAAAAATCATATATTGTAATGAGAATTTCTAAATGATATTTTTATAGAAGAAGAATAATACAGGAAGTTGATTTAACATTAATTGAAATTTTCTAAAAAAGAGCGTCCAAACTGTATGGCCTCTCAAGATGGCAAGGTAAAATCTCTAGCCTATTTGATACGACGTAATAGCTATGGCGGAATTTTGCCTGTCCTTTATATAATTTTGTAATTGATTTGTGATCGGATTATTCTAAATTATTTTGCTGTTAGGTTAATGTTATCGATTTATTCAATTCGAAGAAGAACGTAATTATATTTAATTTAATTATATTTTGATTTTTAAATAGCGAAATTATCTAAGGACCTTCCCTTTTAACAAAAGCTTTACAATGTGTTTGAGCTTGAGCACCTGTTTGAAGGAAGTTTATCCCAGGAATCCCATTAATGCTTTTGACGTGTGTTTATTTTTATATTGGATTTCAATTTTCCTGTTTTAAGCTTTAATTTTTTTTTTCTTGCCGGTTCCTCTCCGGCAGGTCTAGTTTAGTGAGCCTGTGGTAGTTTTGACTTTGACTTAAAGCCACATACATCACGGTTCCGTCAATTAACGCCTAAAGTACGTCGAACTGACCACTTTAGGAAGTGTTATGACACGTTTCAAACGAGGCGCCGAGAACGGCTACATTGGAAAGGGGCGACTGTAGGATGGCATTCGACAATTGGCTGCGAACCGGCCATCGTGCGATCTCGCAATGAGGCCCATTATTCCCACAGAGGCGAGTCGGCATCGGCAGAGAGCCACAACGGCACCGGGCTGTCGCGAGTCCACCTCGCCGGTCCGCGGGCCAAAAAACGACCGCGAGGGGAAATTAAGCCGCCCCGCGCACGTCCCGCCGTCACGCCGCGATATTTAATCACTTTATTAAAGGCATAAAGCCGGGCGTCGTCGCGCCCTGGACCCCGAAACAATGGGCCCCGAGAGCGCGCAATAAAAAGCGCAAGGGGTCCCGATCCGGCCTCGGCCGCTCTGATACAATTACCCAGTGTCGTCGACCATCTCGATCGGCCCGATCGCCGTAAAAACCCACTCGCACAATGCTTAATTAAAACTGAAAGCACTCAGCTCTAACGATTTACAAAGAAAGCGGGCCGCAATGAACTCTCGATCGAAACACCATTTCGAGCAATCCGGCACCGAGCCGTGCTCACAAGTGTTGAAAATTTCGTACGAACGCCTTGTATATACTAAGTGCAACGCATTTGCATGGAGCCATGAAAATTTCTACAGTGTGAGAAATTCTCACAGGCAATCCACAGCTAAATGGAGAGTTGAGTGAGTTAGTGCACGTGGCTTTGCGTCAAACTGCACCACGCGTGGCTCTGGTGTGGTTTCTGCAGTAATAAACGAGCCAGTGTGGATCCCGGGATACGCCACCGCGGCATCCGGCTCATGTTCCGCACTGAAAGGGCCTTTGGAGGAAGGCGCGATATACGTTCGCCTTTGTCCGGACCAGGTCGCCTTAGAGAGCGGCCGTAATGAAGTACCGCGCCAATTCGTGTGCGTACGCCGACCGTGCGAATAGTCGGCGCGTTTGGCGATCTATCGCCAATCGGCGCTGCGGACCCGCCCAGCCCTGTGCCGGCCGCGCACTACTGCCTCGAGTGCGCGTTGCGACGTAATTAAATTTGCGCTGATTGACGCCATGTTACATTATTAGCTACGTGAGGTTATCGATATTACGTTATCGAAACATCGGACCTGCTTCTACAACTAGTGGCGTTTCTATTTCAACATTAATTGACGTAACTAAATTAACACAAACCCACAAACAAACAAACTCGCTCACGCACTCACAAAGTGTACGCCTGAGCTTAATGAAACTCCACATCTGAAGGTTCTGTAACACACTTCCTGTTATCGACTATACTCCCGATCAAATTTTTTTTACAAGTTTTCCAAAGTAATAGTCTCAGACGAACGTAAATTTCGATAGGTGTATACGGAGATATTACAAGGTATAATGTCAATTATTCATTTTATATCAAACAATCGCCTCGTGCCAGTAACTCGGTTGCCATTAAAATTTACGAGAATACGCACCGTATTGGGGGGAACATTTGCGTACGCGAACGGTTAGCATTAAAAGATAAACACGAATCAAGCGTACGGGTACGTATCGCGCGCCACAATGCGCTAATGAAAACGTCGTCACTCGATAAACAATCCATTATGAAATGAGTGGATTGCGGCGCGTATCGGATGTCTTTCTAGAAAAAACAAGTCGCCCTGTCCTGGGGACTTAACGTTGTTCACGTGGCCGGCTCGGGTTACGCTCATTTACGTATGCGTGGCTCCTTTATTTTGTTCTCAATATTGCGATCGCCGGCGGGAGCGTTGCGGGAAAGAAAGGACGATTACGATTTATGCTTAGTGACCATTTTGTTTTTGTTTAACTCTCGGCCACGCTGTATTGCGGCCTAGTAACGAAGCAGGGTTCGTTCGTTCTACCGTCGCGTTTCCGATTATTATATTGACAGTGGACACTGCCTTTAACCGTGTCTTCTTTATGAAGGTATTTTGTAAAGACGATGTGAACAAGAAAATTACTATGAGCTCCCGGCAGAAATAGCTTATAGTCTGTTTGGATATGCATTAATAATAATAATATGATTTGATCCTCATGATTAATAATATGAACCAGTCCTAATTAACTTCGCTGTAAATTAAAGTTTAATATTTGTTCAAGAACGATTTGAAAATCAAATGGACAATCACAAACCTAGGAGTGAGCCATCGCTCATTTGAAATTTGCAAATGATTGGCATCAATAAAGCTAGGGTTAAGAATCCCAACTTATTGTAAACGTGTTTTCAAGGTAGAAATTCATAGTTTTTAAATTAGCCACGGAGTGTTGTTAAGCGAGCGAGCGAATCCTTTCGGAAAGTAATGAAAGCGGACCTTAAAAAGGAGCCTTTTTAGCGGCCGTCGAGTTTCCCATTCTCGCCCGAGTTCGCACGCAATCTGTGTATTAAAGGACAGAGCTAAGTGCATTATAGCCAACGTCAGGCAGCTTTTTAAATTTCACAATGTTATTAGACACGTTTTAAACCCTTTAGCGTTCTCTCGGGCGTTTTTTACGAGCCACGATCCATTTAATGGTGGTTTATTGTACGTTGTTTTTGGCATGCACCCGCATGTACAACATACATTTATATTATTTCTAGATAATAGTTGGAAGTATAAAAGGAACCTTAACTTATTGGGTTCAGCCGCTACCTAGAGACAGTTTGCTAGTCGATGTCTTTTACTCGTCATATCTCTGAGAAACATTTCAGATATCGACATAATAATTTTAAAATGTGATTAGAAGCTTACTACGATAAATAGATCTGTTAATAAATCACCACATTTTTAAACAAACGGTTTATGTTTTGATAAAAAGTGCTAATTAAATACATAGGTAATCAATACATAGGTAAAAATTTATATTTTCTAAATTTTATAAACACTAGTAGCCCGGTGCAACATTTTTGTACATTACCGTGATCGGTAATGGATCGGATTATGGTAATACAATAATGTCTGAATAAGAATTCATCAATGACAGAAAAATGTTTTATTCCATTTTTTGTCAACAGCGGCAAACATAAGATTTAAAATGTTTTACAAATCTTTAAATTTGATGAAAAATTACGTGTGTCGTGGTGTACAGTAAAAAAAACACCTTTGAAAAACGAGTTAAGTTATAAGGATATTACGTGTTCCAAGTTATAAAATCAAATTTAGATTTTAGTATGATTTCTTGTTTATCTTCGCCTTCTTCATATGAGTAAAATAGTGACTATTATCATTTATTTAATTTTTTTCCGTAACCTAAGCTAAAGGAGCATGTGGTATCTTGAGGTCCAGCTGTTAGTGTACTTGGGTTTAATTTTAAAAATATAAAATAACAAACTCATCGGCTTCTCCATTATTATAAAGCCCAATAATTTTTCTATTGCAATTTGAATGCTTCTTTATTTCAATAGCCTGTCTAATCGTTCTTGGGAGTAATCGGTGTTCTTTTGTCAGGATTTGAGTTTTGTCTTATCTAATTAAGTGGTTGAAGTGGAATTCAATATGATCATCGTCACATCCTTGGAGTTACAAATGCGTTGGCAATATTCGAAAGAGCAGCACCCGCTAACCACTCATCACATGAAAAGGTTTCATCGGCTGGAGGAGCTTTTTATGGTATGGGTGACTAAAAGATAGTCTTGGATTGGAAACCCTTGACATCGGTGGCCGGCTGTAATTAAACACGCCTAAAGTGACTCCATGAGTACCTTCAAAATAATGCAATTGCACCTTGGGCAATTCTAAGTGTACTTCCTCCATGTTTGCCTCTACCCATGTTTGCTAATATGAATTGGTTAGACAGTATTTTATTCAGATAGCTATGTTGGATTTGGTCCAAGTAGAATATTGGAAAGGAGATTTTAGTGATGTTACTTCAGTGGATTTTCATCTTATAGTATGAAAGTCCGTATAGACGATTTCCAAATCGCGGGAATTATTCCCACAGGGAGAGTGCGGTAAAAGCTGTTAAAAGGCCGTCAGTAGGTACTCTACGCTGTAAATAGGAATACGAAATAAGGTCTAGACAGCCGGACTAAGTTCAATTTTATCACTCTTGAAACATCGGCTTTAGTCTCGTAAAATCATATTACAGAGTTCTCAGAAGTAAAAATAACACACACCCTTGTTATATATAATTACTAACGTATTTCAATTATTTTAAATTAATATTAGATTTAATTTTCCTGTAACGGTATTAAATGGTATCTGATTAATCTTAACGGTTATAACGAAAAGAATTTCGACAAACTTTAAGTACTCGTCACAATTTAGTTAATATTCCTCGTTAAAAATGTCGCATTGATCGAATACGGGACCACGTGTGTAAAGCCGCTAACGTCAATCTATCCCCCTTATGAATAGTTTGCATAGTGAGTCCGCCCGTACGCTTTTCGCTTGCACGCTTCGGGCGTTGCGATGTCGAAAAGTCGACTCCGCGTCCGCTATCGATTCCGGTCGCAGATTAAAGAGTGCCCTGGTGTTGGTTCGTTTAGTAGCGTGGCGAGTTGTGACACCGAGAGACCGGAGTCCGCCATCCAAGGCGGCCAGAGTAGCCATAATCCGGGTTTTCGGTACACGTTGCACCTAGGCGGCCCCCCTCCGTTCCCCCACGCTTCCCTTTTTGTTGGTCCACTTTTACCTATATGAAGATCCACTCAGTTATTCATGCGAGCGGGATTGTAGTTTATTTTTTTTTCGTACTCTTTGCCCACGCCGTATATAGATATTTTGGGTGCCTACTATTTTTTGCCCGGACTATAAAACTCGAGCGAGTCGTGTACTTTTTTCGCGGTGCCCCTGACTGGGCGTGTGGGGTAAGCGTGGGGTAAGGGGGTGCGGGGTGTCCGCAGTTAGGGAATTATTCATTGCCCGCCCGCGCCGAACCGACTTCCCGTTATTTCTGTTTGTTATGAATTATGTCCAATGACTTTTCCGACGCCCGGTTTTCTTTCGCTCTCGCTAATTACTTTTTGTATACTAACTGTAAATCTCACCGCTCACTAATCGGGTTTTTTTTTTCTTTACTATGTATAAACCTACCTTCAATGTATAGCTCATCGCTGGCCTTTCTTCGGTTTATTTTAACGATTAAGAACGTTTAGTTTTTTAAATTTCACTTACATTTCTTTGAATTGATCAATCGTGATTATTACATAAAGGATGTTGTCCTTTATGTAATAATCACGCAGATCTCAACCTATAGGAGAATTAAAACACGTAAATTTCATTTTGTATACAATGAGTGTTGAATCTCTACGATAGAGAAATTTTTAAGAAACTTTATTTTTGTCTTCCCAACTTGCTTTAATTGAATCTACCGTTTTTCGAATTTGTTACTTAGCTAAATAATTTGCGTTTCGTTTGTAGTTTGGACAGCCTGTCACTTTTGAAAGTGATTAATTTTGATGAAACGTGGATAGCACTGTCGGTCTACCCGATAATAGTTAAAAAAGCAAATATTTTGTTGTCCACATGTCTGTCTATTTTCATTTTCATTCGTAAATTTACGAGTTGGGCATTAATGAACAATTAGAAAAGATTTTCCTTTTCTATTTTCGATTTTCCGTTTGATTATAGCACATTTATTCTAATTCAATAGAAAATTTTCATAATTCCATCGTATCCTAAAAAAGGTTACCCCGGTACTTGGGCCTTATTCAATGTAAAAATTTGGTTTCGTAAACATGTGGTATATAAATATTTTTTAAACATTTAGGACACATTTGTACACAACGTTCTCTATTCCGAAACTGAGCAATGCTTGTACTATGGGTACAAGATAACAGATAAACACACTTTACTTTTGTAAATAAATACATATTATACATATATAAACACTCAGACACTAGAAAAACACTATGTTATACACACAATATTTTTCCAGTAGTCGAGATTGAACCGACACTTTATGGACTGCAGCCATCATGTATCACATGAAGAATAGAAGACCGAAATATACAATTAAATATTTCGATATGGCCCAACCAAAAACAAAATCACGAAATTGAAAATTCCAAACATTTCAAAAATAATATTGAATAATAATTATTCAAAATTATCAGACGAGCTAATTTCAAACTTAATATGTATCTGTAATGTATAGTAAGATGATTCATACTGGCCGTAATACCAACCGGACCTGATGACAGTCGAAGTGGACTCGGCATTGTCACACACCTTTTTTACTCTTCGCAAACACCGATGACTCGGTGATGGCGCCTCCTAGCTATTGTCTTCGGCGTCGGGGCTCGTGGGTTCGATTCCCACGAACCGTTTACAACATGATCCACATGCTATACCGACCTCAGTGTTAGGTAGCCTTGAATTGTAAGAGAGATTTAATAGTTTGAGTTTAAGAATTAACTTCATAATGATTTGAGCCAAGTCCAGTGACAGTCGGAAACGTCACACAGTAATTAACACGATACCCAAATTAAAAATAAAAGTCGTCGAAAACAGAATATAACTCAATTAATACAAGGCACGAATAAAATAATTAAGTTAACACTGGATGGAAACACGCGCCGCATTCACAGCCGAGGAGTAATTACGCTTTTATTAAAATAATATAATGTTGCGTTCGGAGTTCGCAACGTAACTATTATAGCATTCGTAACAGCGTTAAATCTCTGTTTATTAGGGTTCAAAATTAAACTGTACGCTGATCCCGCGATTCCCGCTGTCGCTTCAACACGTTACCCAAACGATCTGTATTAATTTATCATTATCGAAATTTCTTCGCGCCTAGTGACAATTATATAAGGCCTAAAGTATTCCGTTGGGAATCGACACAAGCGCTTACTTAAACTGGAATTTTTTCGAGGTTTCTATGATAGGAACCATTTTTGCTATCGACACACATGGTGTTAAAATATCATCCACGTTATTATCGCATGACCGCTCCCGCTAGCTAGTTGTATGTAAATGGTATAACAGTGACGTAAAGCTGAAATAAAAACCGGCCAAGCGTGAGCCAGACTCGCGCACGAAGGGTTCGTTACCATTATCTATAAAAATAGCAAAAAAATCATGTCTGTTGTATTGGAGCTCCGCATGTATATATTTCTTTATTGTTTTTTTATTTGTTAATGTATATAGCATTTAAAGATAAACATCATGTGTGAAAATTTCAACTTTCTAACTATCACAGTTCATGAGATACAGCCTGGTGACAGACGGACAG